ACAACAGCAAAATATTCAAGGTTATGTACGCAATTTGCTCTGCTTACTAGTACAATCTAGATAATAACTAAAGTGAGCACAAAGATATCCAAATTGGAAACATGGACAAAGTGTGTAACAATTGCAAAGCCAAGAAATGGACGGACGAAGCTCAAGGACTTTGTTGCGCTGCGGGAACCAAAGATCTCTTATTAGGAAACCATCCAGTTTTGACACATTTCTTAAATAATACAAGACGTTACGATACCATTTTTCAAATGACTTCCTTTGGGGCGAATAAAGTTAGGGAAGGTAGTTTTATACCTACTTTTAAAGTTCATAGACAAATTTATCACTTAATTGGGAGTCTACTTCCATCCGAAGGAAATAATGCACAAATATATTTCCTGTCTGAACAAAATCAAGTTAACGCACGGTCATACATATTACCTAATTTAAACGTAGAACTAATAGCACAGATTCAGCAAACTTTAGATGAACATAAAAGTTATATTCAATTCTTTGAGTACAATTTGGATAATAATAGAGATTCAGAAGCATTACAACTAATAATCCAGGCAGATCGTCGTCCAGCTAATACACATAGAGGGTGGTATAATGCTCCTACGGCTGACAAAGTTGCTGTTTTGTTACTGAACGAAGACAAAGGACCAAGAGATATAATTTTACCGGGTTGGGATCGACAATTACGAAGAGTTTCAGAATTGCATAGATCCTATGACCCTTTACAATACCCGCTTCTTTTCCCAAGAGATGAAGATGGTTATTGTCTGAACATACCGCATGCAAACTCAGCACGTAACAAGACTGTCATATGCATGTAGTTTTATGATTATAACGTTCACGCGTAATTCCGAATGGCCTGAAATTAAAAGCTAGCTATCCCCCGGGCATAGATCATACGACAGACATGACATTGTGGCACGTGTGTTTAATTTAAAGGTAAAAAAAACTTATGAAGCTTTGACTAAAAATGGCATTTTCGGTACTACAAAGGCTTACATATTTAGCATCGAATGGCAGAAAAGGGGATTACCTCACGTGCATATTCTGCTATGGCTTGAAACCAAATTAAAACCGGACGAGATTGATAACAAAATGTTACGAGCTTGGGGTTCGAAACAATTAAAAATTGCCGATTGAATTACCAAAACTACAATCTAATACCACACTAATAAAAATACAATTGTAATACTGATCACTTTAGTTCGCAGTTGTATCGCTTTGAAGTATTCGCTTATATCGCCAATTCAATACTGCCTTGGTCGTGGTCTATACCGGCCTTATATAGGGCCTCAGATAGTTTCCAGAACCTTCTACTGTAGCGACATCTAGAATGTTCGAGTACGTCCCGAAATTTCTAGAAGGATCTTGACTCTCTTAGTTCTGCTACTCGACACTAGAGGGCGTTGATGGTAACTAGTGTTGCCATGTACAAGACATTAATAGTGGCGCGCAACAATAATATCAGCTGAGCTTCCAGATCCCCGACGGGATCCCTTATTATTTGATATCATACATAATACATACATAAACACTCACGCCTGTCACCCAGAGGGGTAGGCAGAGACTACGGACTTCCATTTGGCGCGATCCTGACACACCTCTCTCGCCTCTTTCACATCCATATATCTACGCATACACGCTCGTCGGTTAAGGGTACTCCTAATCTGGCCCATTTTCAATGTATCGCCGATCTGGTCGATAAACCTTCGTCTAGGGCGTCCCTTCCCGACCCTGCCGTTCACTTCTGCAACATAAATTTGCTTTGTCACTCTTTCCTCGTTCATTCTTTCTACGTGACCAAACCACCGAAGCATTCCTTTCTTAATCCTTGTCACAACGTCATCTTGCAAACCACACTTTTCTCTTATTACACTATTTCTCACCCTGTCATTCAGATTCAGCCCTAGCATACTCCTTAAGGAACGCATTTCTACAGCATTTATTCTACTCTCATGCTTCTTCTGCCAGACCCAACTTTCACTACCATACATTAAAGTCGGTACTAACACAGCATTATGAATTGCCATACGTGCCTTAGTTGACACATTCTGACTCCTCACAATAGCGTGTAGAGCCCCATTCACTCTATTTCCTGCGTTCACTCGTCGTTCTATATCCTTATCATATCTACCATCCCTGCTAAATAAACATCCCAAATATACAAACTCATCCACTTGCTCAATCAACTCCCCTTCTACTCTTATTTTACATAAAGTTTTTTGATATCCTGGTTAAAAATATAATCCATGGTCCATGTGGGAAACATAACAAAAATTCTCCCTGGAATTTGCAGTAAGAAATACCCACGGAAACTTATAGCAGAGACGGAAACGGGAGTTATTGTCGTAGAAGCCCTGAAGATGGTGGCAATACAGTGACATTGAGAGTTTGAGGAAACGAGGTCACTGTTGATAATAAATGGGTAGTTCCATATTTCCCTGTACTGTGCAGAATCTTTAATGCACATGTCAATGTCGAGTACTTTTAATCAGTTCAAGCAATTAAATATCTTTGCAAATATATTAACTAGTCTGTTGAAAACAAACCAAATGAAATCGAAACTTATTTAAATGGCCGTTATATTAGCACATCAGAAGCTATTTGGAGAATCCGTGAGTTTCATATTCATGGGAGACATCCGACAGTAACCCATTTGGCGGTGCACCTAGAAAACGGCTAGAGTGTAGTTTGAGATTGTTTTCTGTATTTCACAGAAAGCAATCTCAAATAGCGAATTGAAAGCCCTCCTGCAACAACACCTACGGCGTTCTTTAATTTGTTTAGCACAAACGATTTTGTGAAAACTTTGTTATACCATGAAGTTCCTCAGTACTACACATGGGCAAATAAGACGTTTTCACGGAAAAAAAGAGGACTAGAGGTCGAAGGGCATCCCGGAATTAAGAAAGACTCTGCTCTTGGTAGAAAGTACAGTATTCATCCTAGCCATCTGAATGCTTTAATTTAAGGATTCTTTTACAACATGTTCGCGGTCCAATATCTTTTCAAATATTTTGACCGTCAATAGACAGGTCATGCCAACCTGTCAAGCAGCCTGCAAAGAACTCGGCTTAATTGAGGACGATGAACATTGGAAGCATAACTTAGCTGATGCTGTAGTTTCGGAATCGGCTCCCAAACTGAGAGAATTGTTTGTGACAACTTTATTGTTTTGTCAACCTTCAGATCTCATTGGCTTATGGCAAACACTTAAAGAAAATTTCTGTGAAGATTTATTACACAGAAGGCGTCAGCGGAATAACGACGACGGTACGCCATTATCAAAAGATATGATAAATCAAAGTCTAATTCAAACAGAAAACAAAATTTATCTTTTAAGTGAAAAGACATTAGGAGACTGTGGCCTGCCTAAACCTCAGAGAACCAACGAAAGCGATTCTGTAAGGATAACATTAGTACATGATTGTAATGAACTGAATAAGTACGTTTGTTTTCACGTACCAAATTTAGTACCCGATCAGCGACACGCTTACGACGCCATAATAAATAGCGTTGAAAACAAAGAAGGTAAATTATTTTTTATCGATGCACCCGGTGGAACTGGAAAAACTTACCTAAAAAATTTAATACTGTCCAAAATTCGATCAACAGGCAAACTGGCTCTTGCGGTGGCTTCTTCCGGTATAGCCGCCACTTTACTTAGTGGTGGAAAAACTGCGTATTCCACATTTAAACTGCCTTTCAGTTTCTCCCTCCAGAAAGAATCCGTATGTTCCATACGAAAAAACAGGCCGCTTCTTCAAGATGTCTGTCTCATAATGTGGGAGGAATGTACGATGAGCCACTGCTCATATATAGAAGCTGTAGACAACTCTAACATACCTAAGAAATCCGGATAAAATTTTGGGAGGTGTCACCTTCGTGTTTGCCCGTGACTTTCGTCAAACTCTTCCTGTTGTGCCTAGAGGAACACGTGCAGATATACTTAAAACCTGCTTAAAGGCGTCTCCTTTATGGAGCTCTGTACAATCATTCACCTTAAGAACAAATATGAGAGCCCACTAGAGAGAGGGTAATACGCATTTCGCGAGTTTTCTATTACAAGTAGGTGATGGGAAAATAACTGAAAAAGATGGTTTTATTAAAATAGATGAGTTAGGAAAGTCTATCTCAAGTCTTAATGATTTGATACTAAATGCTTACCCAGCAATTGAGAATATTTCTCAAAAAGATTACACATGCATGTGCGAGAGGACAATAGTTTCGCCAAAAAATTATTCTGTTGATCATACGAGTATCAATGAACAAATATTAGAAAGAATACCAGGTAATCAAAAAATATATAAATCTGTTGATACCGTATTAGATACAGAGGGCACTATGCATTACCCACAGGAATTCCTTAACTCCCTTAACCCTTCAGGACTTCCCCCTCATACCCTAAAAATTGAAGTCGGTGTTCCAATAATTTTATTGCGAAACTTCGAAATAGACTTCAAAAAAAATTGCTACGTAATAATGTCGTTGAGAGTATTATTCTTACGGGACCAGCGACACCTGCATTTGGCCAATATTCCGCGTATTCCCACGATCCATATAGATTTACCTTTCCAATTTAAGCGATTACAGTTTCCAGTAAAAATTTCTTTCGCCATCACCATCAACAAAACGCAAGGCCAAACATACAAATAAATTGGACTTGACTTAAGGGAAGATTGCTTTACTCACGGACAATTATACGTTGGTCTCTCTAATCAATTTATATTAAAGCCTCAGAAAAATGGAACAAAAAATCTGGTATATAAAGAAGTTTTAAAATAAATTATATCTACTAAGTATAAATATCTACTATAAATATAGTATAAAAGTACAAATTATAACTACTAATATAAATAATTGTACAACCCGGGCAAAGCCGGGGCGGGCTGCTAGTATACTATAAACTACAATTTAAGTTTCAAGTCCAAATTATCGGTCAAATACTTGCGTATAAGTAACAGTGTTTTGTACCAGCTTAACTGTCGAGTCGAACCAGTCATTGAGGCGCATGCACATTACGTAGCCGTGCCGCCGCGCCGCTTGAAGCGGAAAATTTAAAAAAAAATTGTGAAAGTGATGGATATCGAAGAAGGCAATAGTAGCAAACAATATAATATCGGTGATGTGGTTGTGTTTTCAAACATCAAATATTCAATTTCGGGTAAAAATTCTAATATAACTTCACATTCATATAATGCATGATAAGTAAAAGATAAGTAACGCCCGAAAGTTTAATAAAGCGTACTAAAAGAATTACTATTTTTCTCATTTATAAACTCATTTATAATTAGATACATAGTTATATTAAATAATTATGTAATCATGAATAACCACAACATAAAGCTAAATGCTGCTGCTGTGTTTCGTATTGTGAGTGTAGTATCCGTAGATCCTTTTTTACTGGAAACGAGGTATTCTCTCTTAGACCTCAAGGGTGATAATGCATCTGCATTTTGATTCTTAATCGAGATGTAAATGTTTATAGGCTGCATCATCCACTTACGTGTACTGTGTATGAGAGTTTTTAATAAAAATCTTATATCGCATAGTTGTATTCATAGTCTAAATTTTTATACATGTAAACAAACACTCATTTTCAAATAGTAATCACCACTAGCAGTGTTGCTAGTGGACCAAAAAGTATTTTTTATTTATTTTTTATAATATAATTCTTTATTTATTCGTAGAAGATCGAGTGACTAACTGTAGAAAAATGTGATTAAATGTGTGCATTGGTCATTTGTAAACATTATTAATCAACTAAGTTATCGAAACAAAAGTTTTTACTCGCCCTATGATCCCTGTTTAAATTCATTAATAAAATCTTTATTGCTTACGAAATATTAACAAAAGTCAATGAACTATGTACGATTTATATCATAACAATTATAAAAATGCAAGTCGTATTATGGAGTTTTTAAGGAAAATGCTGGTGCACATTACGCTGTTTGGATGGATTTGGACACAGTGGGATGATTTGAAGTAATGCATTCACTTACGCCATCACATATTCCACCTATGATACAATCTATGTGAGAGGCCTATGTGCAGCTATAGGCATGAGACAGGCATTATTATATACAACCTTTAACACGTACATTAATTATAACCGTCATCTCGCACTGGTCCCCGTCACAAGTCTGAGTATATAAGATCTAGAATAAAAAAGATTAGCTTTAGTTGATTTCGTCATTTATCCGATTTTTAACTCTTTGGGTACTGTTGTAACCAGTAATGACTAATAACTTATTTGTTAATTGACGCTGGATAAGAAAAATAACTTTATGTGAACCTTGATATTAAAGAAGCTTGAGCAGTGAGAGGCCACATCCCAGATTCGTATGTCATCAACTGGCAACAAACACTGGTTGCACACTTTTGTTTTCAAATTTCGAAGAGTGCGTGAGGAGATTTGTCGTAATCTCTCATTCTGCTCATTCGAGTTGGATTCGTTGATTTATTTTCAGGTGAAGTTAGGTTTACCTAGTCGAAAACTTTGTCCAAGGTAAACATACTCGTCAACAACTTTGATCACATAGTGTTCCATCAACAAAGATCATGTTTAACGTGCATCGTCCATGTCACACGTACGTGACAGTAATAATAGTAAATGATTAGATTTTAAGTTTAAGATAAAGTTGTAAGGGTTTGATAGATCTCATTAAGGTCTGTGGCTTTAAAGAAATTAAAGAATTATAACGTTACATTATATTGCTATACATTTTTAGTACGTTCCATTTTGTCGCCCCAGTTCCACTATCTTATTCATTTAAGTCACGCTGTTTATAGGAAAGTGAATCTGGAAACACTACCCACAGCTCTTAGCGCTGCATCCTAAAGCGTAACCACTACGCTACCGAACTAAGATTAGTTATCTTTCACATCAATAAATCTATTAAGCCGAGATATTGCGGCTTTGAACGTCTATTCCATGTTTATTTACTAGAATGTAACTTTTTATGACGTTAAAAGAATTATAATATGGTTATAAAAATGTTTATATGACATTTAAAGTGCAGGTGCCAAAGTGGTTTGCCTTCTTTAGAGTTTTTTGCACATAACCTCAAGTTTACATATAATATTGTTCATTATTAGCAAAATTAATAAATGATAACTAGAATGTTTATACAGATTGACGTCAAGCGGGAAACAGGCCAAGTCATGATCGTTATCAGAAAAATAAAATAAAAACATTTTAAAAAATCGAGTAAATCTACATTATGATACATATCCTCCTCTTTTTATTATATATTCCTGAATAATGCTTCTGTAATTTGTTGCCTAAAGTTTAAAAAAATCGAAATAATCTACATCCTGTGATCTTCCGTCATCTTTTAACTCCCGTTAGTACAAATCTTCATGTTTTTTTTTAATTTTATTTTCATTATGTAATCCTGACAAATGCTTCTGTAAGATGTTGTTAAAAAATGTAAAACCAACTGCTCCAGCTTCGAAGAAAATATCACTTTTAGCCCAACTAAGTATTCAAAGTTAATACTTCGCCCGTAACTGACTGTTCTGAAAAAATGTCCTACACTAGTTTGGCAAGTAACTTTAAAAGTTAGCACATTTGATAAGGATTCCAAATTGGTATGACACTTACTAAATTATTTCCCGCTAACTCAGTTTTGAACAAATTTTTGGCTTTGCTCAAGGCCGCAAATTTACGGTTTACGGTTTGAAAATTATTTATTTCTCTAAAGAATTAAAATATTCACTTATATGAGAAACTTACATTGCTATTAAGTTTATACACATTATCCAGTGATCGTAAAACGCAATATGGTATTGTAAGTCTAAAACTTAATATGTACTTTAGAACCTAATATACAAGGTTTTTGGTACTTAAACTTATTTCATATTTGATATTTTACACTATTATAACTTTTACAATGTATAAATTTAAGCTTGACATCTTCTTAAAAAGGTCGAGTTATCAGACGGGCGAATATTCCGTCATTAACAAATTCAACTGCTTCCGTTATTCTACGACATAGTTCAACTACGTTTTCGATTATTTGAGTAAAGTATTTCCTTCCACCCAGTAAAAAAATGTCTAGCGGGTTTATGTAAAGTTAACGGGCTGGCCACGAGATTGTACCAGACCGTCCTATCCACACAGTGTGCCCACAGTCGCGTAGCTACCCAGAGGTTAGGCGGGGCAGTGCCCTGGAGCCCCCAAGCTAAAGGGGCGTCTCGGCCTCTTAAAACGACGTTCGAAAAATGATGTAGTATCCTAGTTATAAAGAATTTTCGAGTTTTTGGCCCCTGATCGCGAACAGCTCGAACTGAAATTACAAAAATTTCTCCCACTCCCAGAACATAAATATAACGTTGATAATTGTCTACTTCGTTGCATTGTCTTTTTTATATAGAAAAGTGGGACATGCCAGCATGCGACTCACCTGATAGCAAATGTCGACCACCGCCTATTAACAAATACAACACCAGGGGAATTGCAGGCGCGTTGCCGGCTTTTTAAAAAGGACTAAGCTAGTTTCTTGAAGCCCTTTTCTTTCCCTAAGTCGTATCGGTTGTGGACCGCCACACATCCCGCGCAGCGTAAACGGAGACCTGATATCCGTCCGGATGAGAGGTCAGTAGAAGGTCCTACTGGGAAGGTACACGATCCTCAACATCTAGAATCCGATCTGCCAAAAATGTTTTTAAAAGAAAACTATATGAGCATATCCGTAACCTACAAAGTTGAGTCAACTTATTTTATATATGTATGTGTTGCATGTATATATTTGAACTGAATTATATCATGACAAATTAACTGCCCAAACTCACTCTCTGTTCTACCCAAGGTTAGCAGGTAGAGAATGCCATATAGCATTAAGCTCGCCTTTTGTACAAATATTTTGTGTAAATAAATAAAAATAAATAAATAAATAAACCGCGTAGGTAAATAATCCGTGTCGGCATTACCTATAGAGGCACCCGTAGACGCGAGGATTGTCGCTGATGACCTTCAAGACTACCGAGGCGTCGAGAACAGATGTGCTCTCTGACGTATACGCAAACTCCAGCCTAAGGTACAAAGTAATTTATATCCCGGATAGGAGAGAAGTATCGACCAGAGAGAACACCTGCGTTTCTGTTAGAAAGAGCAAGGTCGGCTTCGCCGTCTTCAAATGGTACCTAGTACCTCCAATCACCTGCACTTAACAGGCGAAGTAAGGTTCTACTTCACACTGGTTGTCTGTAAGGTCTTGGGTCTCCTCGCTTCGGGCCGGTCCACATTCATTACATTCATTCATTACAGCTCTTCGTTTGATGTCTTACCAGGTCGTCACTCCATCTAGTCTGGCTCACCTGTGCGACAGCAAAAGCTGCCGTCTGGCTCTTCCACTGTTTTATTGTCTGCCTATATTATTAACTGTAATCTACTTCGTCATTGTTTATGCGTTACACAACGTAATACGTAGTAATACGAAGCTTTGCTTTACTATGCCCTGCAGTGGGCGACAAGGAGCTGATGATGAAGTAGTTTTGCACCTTTAAAACATTTAGTGTAGTTTAAATAGGGCCGCAATTTCATTTTTGCCCCGGGGCTCTTGGTGACATAGCTACGCCACTGTGTGCCCAGCCGTCTTGCTGGAAGCACATTTCTGTAAATGCTTTGTGGCACGTCTTTCAACAACTTTGATAAATGATTTTGTAAAAAATCCAAGTAAACTTCGCCATTTAAGACATCTGTCAGCTCAGAAGGTCCAATGACTTGTCAATTTAAAATTCTGGTTCACATGTTTATTTTGAAACGATACTGTGATCTATCTTGTCCCATCAAATGTGGATTTTCTACATGCCACTCGTGTAAGTTGTATAATATATAATGTTACCATGTTTTTTAAATGTAGACTCATCGGATCATAAAATTTTTTCGAAGAATCGCGGATCTTCCCGGTATCTTTGTATAATCGTTTGACAAAACGCAACTCCTGGAAGAAAATCTTGGGTCAGTAAAGTTTGTACTTGCTGCACGTGACACAGGTGGAACTTTTTTGCAAGATTTTGTGGGCTGTAGTTTTGGGTAGTCCTGTGCTCGCTTCAATTATACGTACTGAAATATCGCATGGTACACATCACGTGTTGAATAAAAGAGTTAAACGATCCAATAGAGCGAATTTTACAGGTAAAAGTTTTAAATATCAAATG